ATAATCGCATTCCTTATCAGACAGTGTAAAACACAGTAAAGGGCTATATTCTATAATCGCATTCCTTATCAGACAGTGTAAAACACAGTAAAGGGCTATATTCTATAATCGCATTCCTTATCAGACAGTGTAAAACACAGTAAAGGGCTATATTCTATAATCACATTCCTTATCAGACAGTGTAAAACACAGTAAAGGGCTATATTCTTATTAAATGATGTAATTAATAGTTAAGTTTCAGGCTTGTTCTTGACAGTCACTTTGGTTTTGTTTTTTTCAAGTTGTGTTCACTTAATACAGGAGTATGAAAATTGTTCACGTTAATAACAGGAGTGTAGCTAAAATATTCTTTAAAAATAACACCATCGTATTTCTTCAGCTTAAGTCGTTCTTAAGACATATACGTGACTTGAAAAACTAAATAATAATAACAGTAAGAAGTTACCTGTCAATAGAGATGGCCATCAACGTGAATACACTGGCAGCAACTGACAAGATGGAGATAAAGTTGGAGATCTTGCAGTAAGCTCTGCCAAAAGGCCAGTCACCATTGAGCATGGAAGAGAAGCTGAAGATAACGTTCAAGGTGGACACCATGGTGTCTGCCAAGCTGAGGTTCACCAAGAAATAATTAGTGACGGTTCTCATCCTCTTATGGGCTAGTACGATCCATATAACGATAACGTTGCCACCTGTAGCAACCAGCACCATTCCTCCAAAAGCAAGACTCCACAACGTCTGTTGCCACCATGGAAGGATGTAAACGTTTTCTGTTGGAATCTCGGAAGCCAATGTATCATTGGTTCCCGATAATGTTTCGTTATCGTTCAGAGTAAAGTTCTCGGTCATCTTCGGATCCATTACAGTGAAGTGGAATTCAGTACTAGTTGATTTTATCGTCCAATAGAAGTGTTTCTTACATGAAGGTGGAGATCTATTCAGAAAAATGAGTCGAGTATTTTCTTTTGTGTAAAGATAAGATGTTTCGTAGAATAAAGAAATTTCTCTTACAATTTGGGATCAGTGCTGTTTTATTACACAATCAACGAATTCATGTAATAGAGTTAATTACTATCTGTGCCTTACAGAAATACTTTTTAAGTTTTGTGGATGAATCAATTATAAGTGAAACATGCAAGTCATCTTTCCGTAGATCTCTTACATCGGAAGAGGAATCAGCTTTATGTCTTGTTCGTACTCTTACCAAGAGGAGAGCGAAGACCAAGACTACTAGAATACCGGTGTCGAACAACCACTAGGTGGCACTTCATGTGTGAGAGAAAAAGCTCCATGCGCACCCGCAGAACAAGTTATCCGTGAAAGACGTGACCGGTACTTTGCTCTCCTCCCATGAGTCCACAGAGAATCAGTTTCTTAACTTCCTTCCAACAGCAGGGAACGGAATGATCGGAAGGAGCTGAGCAGTCTCAGAAATGAAACGAAATTCAGATTTTGTTCAGCGATTTATTTCCTTGAATAAACTTCGTGACTTGTAGAAACGTAAAGAAAAATAAAGAGGCAATTAATGGAATATAAATATCATATATTTGTTATTGAATAAGAAAATAACAATTAAGTAAGTTATATAAACACGGAAATAGAACAAGACTTAACCGTCACGGATATATATAATTTCTCAAGAAACTGTTGAATGAATTATAAGAATGAAAGAAACTACCGTAGTTAAACTAACAGTTTCAAATGAACATTATAATTAAAAGTCCATAATCTCTAGCTACAACAAACATTGTAATTAAAAGTCCGTAATCTCTAGCTATAACAATGTCCGTAATCTCTAGCTATCTAAACATTACCATTAAAAGTCCATAATCTCTAGCTACAACAAACATTGTAATTAAAAGTCCGTAATCTCTAGCTATAACAATGTCCGTAATCTCTAGCTATCTAAACATTACCATTAAAAGTCCATAATCTCTAGCTACAACAAACATTGTAATTAAAAGTCCGTAATCTCTAGCTATAACAATGTCCGTAATCTCTAGCTATCTAAACATTACCATTAAAAGTCCATAATCTCTAGGTACAACAAACATTGTAATTAAAAGTCCGTAATCTCTAGTCACACAAACATTATAATTAAAAGTCCACAATCTCTAGCTACACAAGCATTGTAATTAAAAGTTCACAATCTCTAGCTATAACAATGTCCGTAATCTCTAGCTATCTAAACATTACCATTAAAAGTCCATAATCTCTAGCTACAACAAACATTGTAATTAAAAGTCCACAATCTCTAGCTATAACAATGTCCGTAATCTCTAGCTATCTAAACATTACCATTAAAAGTCCATAATCTCTAGCTACAACAAACATTGTAATTAAAATTTTGAAAAAAAAACATTGTTCTATTATTTGTTCTTGTTTCATAAGCTTAATTTGAGGATTATTCTTTGTATTTAAACAAGAATCTGGAAATCACATACATCGATATATTTTCTGGAATATGATTATAAAACATCTGAGTCTGATACTTTTATTTGCAGTGTTTGTGTAGCTAGAGATTGTGGACTTTTAATTACAGTGTTTGTGTAGCTAGAGATTGTGGACTTTTAATTACAGTGTTTGTGTAGCTAGAGATTACGGACTTTTAATTACAATGTTTGTGTAGCTAGAGATTGTGGACTTTTAATTACAGTGTTTGTGTAGCTAGAGATTACTCTGGAATTACAAGAGTTTATTTTGGTAGGCACTGCTGTTCTCACCATAACTTATACTGTAAATGTTTGCTTCTATTGTTTTATATTAAACTCGAGCCTTAAGGAACTACGTTTTGAATGAGTAATTTTGCTAGTACAATAAGTACGTACGAATACCTTATCCATTTGTCCTGATTTAACTTGTTTTGTGTAAAATTAGATAATTTTTAATATAATCTTAAATCTTGTAATATTTCTAAAACGACAATATACTGTATAAAGCTCATTTCGTACTTTGTTATCGTTTAAAAATCAGAATAACTTCAAATTTATAAAGAAAGTACTTTGTCCTGCATCTTCCGAACATTTTCACCATACTTTCATTACTGTAGAAATGAGGATAATTTGAATAATCACCTGGTGTTACTCGTGGAAAACAAACAAAATTGACACGTAATGACTTTCATATTCATGTAATTTCTATGAACCTCGCGTTCGTCGTGAACAATCTTGCGTTCTATTCGTAGTTCGTGTATCTTTTCTTATGAATTAATTACAAAAAAATCTTCATTCATTTGGAAACCCTTCAAACGAATTCTGTTAAGCGTGTAATTTTAGAGAAATAAGGTTTAATTTAACCGTTATATTCATACTTTCTACCTAAAACAGTGCGATGAAGAACTCTGACCTTTATACAAATGTAAATAAACAAAAATCATGTTGCAGTTCTTTCGAGAAAATATTCATATTTTAAGTCTTTAACAGTAAAAATATGATGATAAGTAGAGAAAATATTCATATTTTAACAGTAAAAATATGATAATAAGTAGAGAAAATATTCATATTTTAAGTCTTTAACAGTAAAAATATGATGATAAGTAGAGAAAATATTCATATTTTAAGTCTTTAACAGTAAAAATATGATGATAAGTAGAGAAAATATTCATATTTTAAGTCCTTAACAGTAAAAATATGATGATAAGTAGTTGCAAGGTATATTATTTATTTCCGGCTTCAAACACAAACGTTATTCAATCAGTTTCTATTCTGCGTTTCCAGTGTTATTCCACTTTTTACATAAGAAACCGCTAAATATTCGTGATGAAAGGACTTTTTAAGAGTTATCGTATCTTTGAACTATTTCTGTTATTAGTTTATCTAAGTAGAATATCAGAAATTAGAAAGATTAATTTAAAAATTAAATCAAACTAGATACGTCTGAAAACTTTTGAAATAATGAGCAAAGCAGCTTATAATTAGCGCACTGGAGAACCCTAAAGAACCCTTCAAGTACGTTTCAAATGTTCTGTCGACACAAAGACAGGTCTTCCACTATTTCACCTTCCTACCAATAGTTTGTTTGTTGAATTCCGCACAGAGCTACTCCAGGGATATCTGCGCTAGTTGTCCCTAATTTAGAGGTGGTAGACAAGAGTGAAGCCAAATAATCAATACCACCCACTGCCAACACTTCGGCTACTCTAATCGAATAGTGGAATTGACTGTTACGTTATAACACCCTCACGTCTGAAAGGCGAGCATGTTTGGTGATGGGGTTCTGTCATTTACATGGTTGTCTAATATGTCGTAGTTGAGCTTAACTCTCAAGTCATCGCCTTGTTTTATATCGTTTACCAGTTGCTGGATCATATTCTATTGTTTAGACATCATCCAGTATAAATAATGATAAAAACACTTAACTACAATCGCCGACTTTTAATCTTTAAAATAGGAGACTCCAGTGGAATCAACTGTAACATTGTTTTGTTTTGTACATTTTCTATGTAACACACAAAGTCATGGGCCCACAAGTAATTCTGTACATATATATTTTAGAAAAATGTGCTCATAACGTCCATCGTACGTTCTAGGATTATATTCTCAAGGGAGACAAAGCACGACAACCTTAAATCAACCTGGATCTTTTAATCTGATTTATTTGATCTTAAGTTTATTTACACTAACTGTAACTTTTATTGTGTTCCATATTTTTATTTTTTTCTCATACTTTCTTTAGTTTGTTCCGTATTTCTTCCGTCTTTTAACCACACAGGATATCAACTATTCTACTTCCGTGTTTCCACCACACAGGATAATAACTGTTCTACTTCCGTCTTTTAACCACACATGATATCAACTGTTCTACTTCAGTCTTTTAACCATACAGTATATCAGCTGTTCTACTTCCGTCTTTCCACCATACATTATATCAGCTGTTCTACTTCCGTGTTTCCACCACACAGGATAACAACTGTTCTACTTCCGTCTCTTAACCACACATGATATCAGCTGTTCTACTTCCATCTTTCCACCATACATAAAATCAACTGTTCTACTTCAATTTTAAATCGTATATGATATCAACTGTTCTACTTCTATCTTTTCACCATACAGTATATCAACTGTTCTACTTCCGTTTTTTAATCGTACAGGAGTTCAATGTTTCAAAATCATTTTTAACACTTATATGTTGTCTCAGTAAAATTTTGAATTAAATGTATTTTTGGTGTCAAACTATTGTGCTTGAATTTAATAAGAAGCAATAATAAGTATGAGTATACGTTATTTCAGCCGTAAACACTAACACTACAACCATAACACACTTTACACTAAACACTAACATCTAAATACATCTTACACTACAACCATATACTTTATACTAGCACCTAAATACATCTTACACTACAAACATACACTAAACACTAGCACCTAAATACATCTTACACTACAACCATAACACTAAACACTAGCACCTAAATACATCTTACACTACAACCATACACTAAACACTAGCACCTAAATACATCTTACACTACAAACATACATTAAACACTAGCACCTAAATACATCTTACACTACAACCATAACACACTTTACACCAGCACCTAAATACATCTTACACTGCAAACATACACTAAACACTAACATCTAAATACATCTTACACTACAAACATACACCAAACACTAGCACCTAAATACATCTTACACTGCAAACATAACACATTTTATACTAGCACCTAAATACATCTTACACTACAACCATAACACACTTTACACCAGCACCTAAATACATCTTACATTACAAACATACACTAAACACTAACGTATAAATACATCTTACACTACAACCATGTACTTTATACTAGCACCTAAATACATCTTACACTACAATCATAACACACTTTACACTAAACATTAGCACCTAACTACATATTAAACTACAACCATAATACACTTTACACTAAACACTAACACCTAAATACATCTTACACTACAACCA